CCCCGGCTCCGTTGCCTGAGGGCGCCCGAGACACGGCGGCACCGGGGCTGGGGATGGCAGCGGGGCAGCTCATCTAACACCGGGGACACCGGATGGGTCTGGGGTGACACCTCCTGCCACTGGTGACACCGACTGACAGGTGTCTGGGAGGGCTYTCAGAGCCCCATCCAACCTGGCCTTGMACACCTCCACSTATTCTCTGGGCACCCTGTGGCAGCATCGCACCCCCTCACAGTACAGAACTTCCTCCTAATATTTAATCTAAACCTACTCTCTTATAGTTTGAATCCGTTCCTCTTGGCCCTGTCGCTACGTGCTCTTGTAAGAAGTTCCTTAAAAAAGGAAGCATAGTCTTGATGCAGAAACAATCTTGATGAAGAACAGTGAAAGTCAGGCCTGATGAGGACTCCCCAAAATGGTGACTTGTGGTGTTGTGCAGATTATTGCTGGTCCCTTCACTGATCATCCCCTGAGAAAAGTACTGAATTGTTCTTAAAGTATTGTAAGAAAAAGGGAAAACATCATATGGAAACAAAAGTTTATTGAAAAAAGAGAAATGGTACAGGGTTCAGTGCCTCAAGCTACCTGTGAAAAAAATACAGATTTTGTCAGGAAGATCTTTTTTTACCTCTGTTATCTTACGTGGCATGGAGGGCTGTGGATGCTTATAAGATGTGCTGGATAATATTTTTGAAGAAGCAAGGAAAACAGAGTGTCTTGAGACTGTAACTGGCATCAAGCAGCCTCCTGCCACCTTCCTGTTTGCCCTCTGGCATGTGTGAAGTTGTGATGGCCAGTGTCCTGTGTTTTGATCTGCTGTACACTTTCCCACTCTGCCGCTCAGTAATGAAGTGTCTGATTGTGGGAATGATGTGCTGAGTACAGGCTGTGCCTTCCAGAGAAATGTGGGATGTTTGGACCTACATTATCAGTGTGGACATCAGTGGCAGGAGGGTAACAGCTGAGTTATATGGTCATCAAGAAGAAGGGAAACTTCTATAGAAAAAAAATTCAGAYTGCTGCAAAGTTCCTGGTTCTAGAATCCATGGAGGAGACTCCTACAAGATGGGCATGTGTAGACAGGTGGCTTTTCAAGGTGAAATCTTAGCACCAGCAACTTGCAGTGCTGTGTCAGAAATGGGGTTAAGCACAAAGGGATGAGTGCAGTGKTGTGATGACAAGGAGGGAGCCTCAGCTGCTTGGACAGTGTTGGGTGAGTGCSTGGCCTGCCAAGGACTGAGCCTTTTGACCCCTTCAAGGGTCTTGTGCCAAGGGCCACCTACTGCAGAGTGCAGCGAGGTGACCTGGCTGAAWGGAAAGGTGGAACTCCAAAGACACTACAAGCTACTAGAGAGACAGCAGAGATGACAATGGCACATCCCTGTGTWCATATTAGGGGCCCCTTGCTTTCCTGCCCAAAATGGGAACCTCCTTTTACTCACAGTATGTGAAGAATAAATGCAACTTGCCTTGCAGGGGGTTTAAATTGACACCTGTAATACATTGTGACATTGCAGTGATGAGCACCTGATAATCTTGTCCAAGCAGAGCTTGTGTGTGAAAGAACGTGAGAACATATAGAGAAGAAGAAAGCAAATTATTGCAAAACTGTTATTAGGTGAGCGATCACTCCTGTTCCCAAAGCAAAGCTCCTAATAAAAACAAATGCTAATTTATAAACACGTGCCCTAATGCATGCATGAAATAAATCTGTGGAAATGTGTGTGGAAATGTGTTCAGTAAATGCAGAACTGTTAGCCAGACGTGCTAATCCACCAGATGGTGCTGCATGTCTGTGGATTCAGAAGGGATTTGTTGGTGTCTCTTTTTAAAATAGCACCASTTAGTTACAGACTATTCAGTTAAAAGGGAATATAAAATTCCTGTTCTTAAACATATACACACCCAGAGAAAGTTGTTTTGTTTTGTTTTTTTAAATTACATTTTTTTATTTTTAAAGGTGTTAGAGGAGCAGGAGTACTTGTAACATGACAAACTGTTTTCCTGTTAACATTCTTTTTGGGTTGAATTTTCACTTACRTAGACCACTGACCTCATTTGTTCAAAAGATTTAAATGTAAACCCACTATTTCTGGCCTTTAAAAGACTTGAAGCTCCTCTTGTACCTGTTRAAAAAATCATTTTTGTTTGCTCCCAATCTCCTTCAACTGTTATCTCTGTGAAAACAACGATTTCAATCATGAATTTATTTCTGATATGTGATACTTTTGTTATGAGAAAAAAAAAATTTCCTGACTGTACATCTAAGCCATCCCCTGAAAAAAAGGACTAATTTAAGGGATTATTGGATTATTTGTAACTAGCCCAGTGTAGCCAGTTGATGTCAGTTAATCATTGTTTGTAATCAATTTCCCATGTGAACCTGCAAGTGGCAGGGTGTTTGATAATGGGATGTAATGGCCCACACTGTATCTTCTCTTTCAGATGGGTGCACTAAGGCTGCTGACACAATGGAAGAAGCAAAAATAGGAAGAGAGATTGAGGGGACCACACAAGTGAGTGTGAGATCAGAAYATGCAGGAAGTTTGATGAAGGATGGAGGCTCGGGCATGATAATGACTGAAGAGTTGACTGAAAACACAATGTCTTAATTGAAACCTGGATCTCCCGACTTGGGTAGGAGAAGCACAATTGCATGAAAAGGAGAATTGCTCATTATTCAGGTCTGATGTGTTACCAGTTATGTTTACTCTATTGCTATCCAGTGAATAATAAAAATTAACAGCAATTTAAGACATTGGTCTTGGGTGAAAAAAAAAAATACAGTTATGGGCCAAAATCAAATACCTCTGTAGTCTGAGGAAGTTTAAATTTGTTCTCTTTGGCCTGTTGTATACTTTTTTCATAGCTGTGCTGGCAAAGGCTGTGATATTGTTGGTACAGAGCAGTGGCTTTTATGGGTGCAGAGGACAAAAAAAACTCATCCTTCTGCTGCAATATTCATTTGAAAAGTTACTATGAGACAATGTGGCATTGGGTAATTTATTTGAGTTGTAGGACCCGAGCTTGCAGCAAGCACAGGGAGGGCAGCTGTGAGAGCAATGGCTTTGGCACAGGCAGCAGTGATTTGTGGAGGGGCAGAGCAGCCCCTCTGTGCCCCGYCCGGCAAAGGCGCTGCCCGGTGGGGCGGGGTATGCCTTCTCCAAACACTGCTCAGAAAATGTTCATGTAAAACCATTACCAGGTTTTATTTAATAACCTCCTAACCCTCTCTCTCTCTCCTCCTCCTCCCCTCTGTTCCTCTAATGCCTTTTACAGCTCTTGCTGCACAGCGTGAAGCCTTAGAGCTGTATTCATCAATGACTCACACCCTTGCTTAGGGGCCAATTTTCATGGAAGCTATACAGGAAAATTTTGAAATGCACCTATCTCATGCAGGGCACAAGATGATTTCTCTATTCATTACTATTCCAAAAGGACTTGTTGTCCTTTGGAAATGTTCACATATTACTTACATTTGTGTGTGCATGCATACATGTGCAGAGCTAACTTGCCTTTAGATTTGAGGGGTCTAAAAATAAAAATGTATTGCTATTATCATTGACACTAGTCAGCTGAAGGGTAACTAAGGGCCTGCTTACACTCAGTGGAAGCAGACAAATGCAAAGGAAAATGCAGCATTGTCCATTAGGGTGAGCAAATTCTACAGACTCAAGCACAAAACTTGTCAAAAATTCCCCTTTTGTTTGATGCTATGAGTAACAGCCTTCTCAGGAATTTGGGAGTAAAGCCAAGGACTTTCTCTGAGAAACAAAACTGCAGTTTTGCTTCCAAAAGCTTCCTGTCTTGGTCAAGGTTATAGTACCTTTCWGAAACACTTGAAGCAAAYATRTTCCTTTTCCTTAAGACACCCYRAGTTAACTCAAGTTTWTAAGTTTGAGGGGAAAGAAAGAGGYAAAATCATAGAAATTATTAGCCAAAATGACCTTTCAGTTTCAAACCCATCTGACAGGAGGGGAATCATTACTGCAAAATTGCCAGTCATAGCCTAATTGCRTTCTCAGGGGTTGCTAATTATATCCAAAATTACTTTAAAC